TTTTTTTTATTGTTTGACTTACTTAACCCTTTTAATTATGAACTCTTTCATATATTTATAAAACCTAATTGATTTTAAAAATACATAAATTACTTCACATTTTACCAATTAAATGACATAGGTTTAGTAATGATGCCCTCAATGCAATTCTAGTCATCAACTATGGAGCTTGAATTTATTTAACGAATTTGAGTAATGTACGGAAAACCTCGATCATTCAGTGCTAGAGTGTCCCTAGCTTAACAGGTCCAGTCCAAAGAGACTATTTCTACCTACGTAGCTATTAATAGCTACATAAGTATTTAAAGCTACCCAAAGTAGCTATTTTTACCTACTTTCTGCTTTACTTGCATTTTGTGGCAAAATGCAGGAACGGCGCAACATGGTGAGCACAAATTTTCTTGATACAGTCACACTGATGATAAATATGACAAAAATTTGGCCAAAAAATGAAAACTTCGTATATTATCAATTTTGCATAGAAACTAATGTAAAATTGCCGATTAAGGAAGTAATCATTTTTGGCCAAAATTTTGTCGTATTCATCATTAGTGTGACCGTATCAAAAAAATATGGTATTCACCATGTTGCGCCGTTTGGTCTTTTGGTCGCAAAATGCAGAAATTATATAAAGTAGGTAAAAATAGCTACTTTTGGTAGCTTTAAATACCTAGGTAGCTATTAATACCTACGTAGGTAGAAATAGTCTTTGGACTGGACCTGCTTAAGAAGGGGATCTCTGCCTTCCAAGGATATGATCGCCTGTAAGCACGGTGTTTTAAACAAACAAACATTACAAAGTGGAAACACTGAACATATTCATCTCCGCGTACATTAATTTGATCTATTTTATATGGTATATGAATAAAAACATGATAAACAACGTTGAACCTTACTTGGACAGGTCCGAGCATTTCCTGAGATCAGAAACCAGACGTTAAAAAGATGTGGCAAACAAACCACTTATTTGTATCTATAGCGAGAAATGTATTACATAGACACAAAAAGTAGTAAAACGTGCCACTTCTCTAAATTTTTAATCAACTAAATCGCATCCAAACTACCCATGTTGAAACTGAAAGTATTTTCTTCTTTCACTTCCGTCACAACGTCACACATGCGCATTAACGGTTTATAGAATATTCCGAAGATTGAACCCGATTACTATTATGCTTGTGAATTGTGAAAACGAATTTTTGGCCGTCTATGCATTAAATATTCAACTTATGATTTAAACCATACTTATTACTGTTCTATTATCGATAGTTTCAAATATTTAAAGCGATTTTTACACCCAAATCCTAAAAGTATAGATGTTAAAAAGATTTTTCAAATTATCATTTTTCAGCAAATTTGGTTTAAAAATGTGAAATTTTCTTGTTTGATGCCCGCTGCCCCACTTAATTTTTATGCCATATAAGGGAGAGAACATTGGAAAATAACGTGTTAATTTTAAAAAGAAATCTGTAGTCAGAATATCAAGCAGCAATTTATTTTTACTAGTAATGAACTTTATAATTTTGAGCTAAATATGTTTAATTCGCCCTAGAAAGTAATATTAGGTGGATCAGCAGATTAAAAAATAATTAAACATTTGAACAAGCATATTTTCTCTATAATTCATATGTTTAAAAAAGTCTTTTGCTTTTAATTTTAGAAAGCTAGAATAAATATTTTAATAACTGCATTTCCGTCATTTCACGAGACAATGTCTATTTTTAGTAACAATCATTTCAAAAGGAGGCCCGGTTGACCCCAAAATTTACACTGATCTGGAAAGGACAAATACTCAGTTAAGATTCTGAAAAGTTTCAACAAAATCTGTAGCTCCGTTATATCTATAGGATGGTATGGATCTTTACCTTAAGTACTAAGTACAATTAACGATGCTTTTGCGAAACGATACCCAGGACTTGTGTGAACAGGAAATATCACAGCTATTATTGTCCGGAACTGACACTTGTGTATCAAAATACCTAGAAATGGATGTTCTCCTACAGGATTTTCTGTCTTTTACCGATTTGTCAATATGTCAAGATTTGTTCCATTATAACAGAGGATCTGCCCTTGAGCCATCCCTCCCAGCACAACCAACTTCTTGTTTGTAAACTGTTAATGCATATAAATGAAAATATTTCTGTGTTGATTTATTTATGATTTAATTATAATACATGTAATCACATATTTTATTTACAGCATAAAATTAATTTGAATTTGACGTCTGTGTTTGTTTTAATGACAATATCATGATCCTTATATTTCATGTATAAAAATCTTGTATCTTCAAGTGAACTGGGAGGGCCTGCATGTATGATCCTTTTGATGTGTCGAAGATCATAACCCATTCCTAATGCAATGGTTGAGATCACAAGTCTGATAGGTAAATCGCTGTTGGACAGTCTGTTACCTATTGATGTATTAAAGCTGAAAATATTAAGGGTATTAATCATATGAATTTAAAAAATTGATTATATTCTGTAGTATTTGAAATCTACAATTGTAATAATTGTTAATGATTATATACTGGTATACATATTCTTGTATGAATTATGTGAATATATTTACATCGTGTGGCTGCTGGACATGATATTGCACGACTCGTGGTAAATCATTAGCGCCTGCACACGTTGATCTAAAGGCTGGACTTAAGACTCTTTGTGCAAGTTCTACTCCATATCCACACCACTGAAGTTTGCAGTAAACAACTCTTACATGAAAATCCTTTTCTTCAGAGTAGAGTTGAAGCAGCAGTGGCTTGAACAAAAAAAAATTATGCCTGTATTGCACCCAGTTGCAGATGGAATCCTCTCCTGGACATTGAATTTTACAATGCCATTTCGCACGGAGGTTGTATTCAATTGAATATAATCTTTCATTCCTAGGAAACTAGCAGTTTCTCTTTGAGAATGCTTGCTAGCTGTTGCTGTCATGTATGGTTCAGACAACGCACGGATAAACAGGAAGTTGAAATCCAACTTGTACTAAAATGAATCCATCTACACGGCATGCCTTAACAAAGTATGTGCTAAAATTTCAAGCATCTGCAACGAGTAGTTGCTGAGAAAACTGAAACGAAAATTTATTATCTATGGTACGGACAGACGCACGAAAAACAGAAAGATGACATTCGATTTGAACAAAAATGAATCCCACCAAATGGCATGCCTCAGCAAAAAATGCTAAAATTTCAAAAATCTGCAATGAGTAGTTGATGAGAACTGCGACCAAAAATTAGTTACGGACAGACAGACGGACAGAGGGGTAAAACGGTACACCCCCTCACCTTCGGAGCGGGGTATAAAAACGTTCAAGTGTGTCCCAGGTCTTTCATTGCCATTTTTGTTATACTAATATGATGTTCATAATAACTCGTTTGCTTAAAGCAGGTACTTGTCAACTAAACTAAGGAGAGTTGATAACTTATTAAGCAGTTTTTGCATCCTTTTACATGGTAATGATCACTGGACCTCCAAGAATATGTCTTCCCGGCCTCACATGGAGAAAAATTTACGTTGTGTACAGCTCTCACGAAGAGCATTCCTGCAAGATAGTTCGCCACTGATATTGCATAGAATATTAATTGCCTGACTTTGTTTGGGAAGCTGAGTCTTCTTGTGTTCGATCAATGCTTGTTTAGATTGGACAGTTTTTACTCATTTAAAATTGGCTTTGCATACGGAACAAAATCGGAATTGCTGAAGATCTTTTTGATGCATTTCAGTCCTTGTGATGTGTATATCTTTCCACATTGATCTCACAGTAGGAGTAGTTTATGAATTTTCTTCTTTTTGCCTAGCGCGTTTATGCCTTTTCAGGTCATATAGCATTGGATAGACAGGCCCCGCCACTACGTTTTTCATTTCGTTTAGGTGTCAGGTAAAGCAATATGTCCTCCTTTCTTTGAAGAAGGGCATTGTAGCACAAACAGACTCAAGATGAGAACTAGTTTATTACAACACGTGCAGCATCATCATGAATAACAAGGAAGATAACTCTATATTTTAACATTTACAAATAACACCAGTATAAGAGTTACTGTTCTTAGATACAGATAATGTCACATCTCCCCTTTTAAGTTAACTGCAAAATGTTTGTTAAAATTGCATTTTATCATTATAATAAAACAGCTCTCAATATTCTTACTTTTTTTTGTTTAACTACAACTAACAAAACTGAACTACAAAACTGAACAATGAATGTACACATCAGATTCAGAAATTCACTTTAACTGATTGAATTAACACTCCGTCACCAGCCTGCGAGGTGCTTTGATGACCCGACCACTCGATGTGGTAACACTAGTTGTGTCCAGAATTGATAGACGGACCATTAACACGGTTAGAGTTATCACAAAACAAATCACAGTGAGCGTTAACAGACTCTTCGGTATCTACTGGTTGTTCTGTGCTCAGTTCTTTCGTTTTGATAAGGTCTCGGCGGTTCCTCCTCACGGTGGTATTCCCTTGTTGTACGAAATACGATCTCGGTGTTTCTGCAGGTCTAACGATTCTTCCTAGTGTTTTGATAGACTGTCCTGGATTCCTAACACGTACTACATCTCCGTTGTCAAGTGGTTTAAGAGGTTTTGAGTTGCGATCGTAAAGAGACTTTTATGCATCTTTAATGTTCTGGAGTTCCTCTCGAACAAGTTCCGAGTTAAATCCCATTGGTCGCAATTTGGATTTGACGGTTGGTACGAGCGTCCTTGTGGTTCGTCGAAATAGAAGCTGTGCTGGTGAAAGTTTCACTCCTGGTATTTCTGAATTTCTCAACTCCATAAGCGCAATATACGGATCCTTGTGGTCATCCTGTGCTTTCCTAAACAGGTTTTTGATGGTATGCACAGCTCTTTCAGCCATACCGTTGCTCTGTGGATATCTCGGCGAAGATGTAATATGACGGAAGTCATATTCCTTCGAAAAGTTTTTGAATTCATGGTTTGCGAATTCCGGTCCATTGTCACTAATGAACTCTTCAGGGATTCCTAGTCGAGCAAAGTGTTACTTCAGAATGTTGATAACGGTGGCGGCTTTCCCATCTTGTAAGCGGTTGACTTCTATGAACTTTGAGAAGTAGTCAACAGTTATCAAGTATCTTGTATTCCCAAAAAACATAATGTCTGCTGCAACTTTCTGCCAAGGACGATTTGGGATCTCATGTGGTATCATTGGCTCCTTTTGCTGCGCATTTCTGTAGCGGTTGCAAATGTTGCACTGTTCTGTCATGTTCTTCAACTGCATGATTATTCCTGGCCAAAACAATGTTGATTTAGCTCGCTGTATACATTTTTCTTGTCCCAGGTGACTGCTGTGCAGGATTTTCAACATCTGGGGTCTAAGTTGCTCTGGTGTAATGATACGATCTCCTTTTAACAATAAGCTATCAACAATGCTTATCTCATCTCTAAAGTTCCAGTATGGACTAAGTTCGCTGTCTAAATCCTTCCGGTTTGTTGGCCATCCCTGTAGAACTGTGTCCTTCAGTTTCATGAGAACAGGGTCTTTTTTGGTTTCACTCTGAAATAACATCACCTTTTCCTGACTCACAGGAATAGTCTCTATCACATGAACTTCATACTGTTTCCTCCTGCTCCTCAGCTGGATCTGATCCTGTCGATCTCGACAATGTGTCCGCAATGTAGAGTTCCTTGCCAGCTTTGTATTTCACCACTAAGTCATGTTGCTGAACTTTCAACATCATGCGTTGAAGTCGTGGAGGTGCACTCGACAATGATTTTTTAAACAGGCTCTCTAGTGGTTTGTGGTCTGTTTCCACTAACACTGTTTTACACACATACTCATTGAATTTCTGTAGTCCATACACGATTCCAAGCATCTCTTTTTCGATTTGTGCCTAGTTTCTCTCAGGTGTATTCAGGGCTCTCGATGCATAAGCCACAGGTTGCTCCTTCTGCATGATGCACGCACCAAGTCCATATGACGAGGCATCGACGGAAAGTTTGACATCCTCATTAACGTCGAAATATTTCAATGTCGGCGTGGACGTTATTGCTCCCTTTAGATCATTACAGGCTTTTTCCTGTTCGTCATTCCAGTGCCATGCGACGTCGGTTTCTAGCAACTGTCTGAGTGATTGATTCCCGGTAGACAAGTTTGGAATAAACTTTCCTAAGTAATTGATCATTCCCATGAATCGATGTAGTTCCTTCTTGTTTTCTGGTGCTGGAATTGCTAGAATTGCTTTGATTTTTTCACCACTGGGCTTCACAACATCTGAACTGAAAACATGTCCTACATATTCAACTTCTGATTTGTTTACTTTGCACATGTCCTTGTTTAAGCGTAATCCGACATCCTCAGCTCTCTTCAGTATTTGACTCCGTTTTTCCAAGTGCTCCTGTTCACTATCTGCCCACATCAAAATGTCATCTGCAATCACTTCACAAGGCTGATTTTTCAAATACATGAGACATGGCCCTCTGAAACACTTCCGGCGCTGACGATATTCCAAACGGAAGTCTCTAGAACTTAAATCTTCCAAAGGGTGTATTAAATGTGGTGAGCCATGAACTCTCCTCGGTCAGCTGTATTTGTTAGAATCCTGAAGCGACATCCAGAGTTGTGAAATGCTTCGCATGCTTAAGGTTAGCAGCCACTTCTTCGACAGTCTTAAGTGGACTGTTCTCTTAAAATAGCCTTATTCAGTTCTCGCGGATCCAAACAAATCCTGACTTTCCCATTTGGTTTCTTGACGACTACAATAGGGCTGACCCAATGAGTTGGGATTTCCACTTTTGAGATAATCTTCATAGATTCCATCCTCTGTAGTTCTTCTAAAACTTTGTACTTCAAAGTATGTGGTATTCTCCGAGGTGGCGCGACTACTTGTGGTATGCTGGAATCAACCTTGATGTCATATTTACCTGGAAGACATCCAATTCCATGAAATAAATGATCATATTCTTTCAACAGTCCTTCTGCACTTTTAGTACTTTGATTCTTCTTCACTGTATACATACGATTCACTAAATTCAAGTCAATGCTGGACTTGAGTCCAAGAACAGGTTGGACATCATCATCAACAATCTGTATTTCTAGAAGAAAATACTGGTCCTTGTGTCTCACTGATGTACATACTTTTCCACAGGCTTTCAAGGTATGTCCAGAGTAGGAAACTAATTTACTGTTGCTACGCATTAGTTGTTTAGTGTCAGTGTTGGCATACTTGCATGCTTTTAAACTCATGACGTTGCACTGTGCTCCAGTATCAATTTTAAAGTTAATAGATTTTGCGTCATTGACTAGAAGCTTCATTGTCCAGTCATCATCCTTGTGTGTGTCAATTGAATACATGAAAAAGTCACCATCTGAGTCTTCACGGCTCTCTTCAATATGATGGCCCCGTGGGGATCCGGGTTAGAATAGGTCCTCAGTACCCCCTTGCTTGTCGTAAAAGGCGACTAAATGGGACAGTCCTTTGGATGAGACCGTATAAACCGAGGCCCCGTGTCACAGCAGGTGTGGCACGATAAAGATCCCTCCCTGCTCAAAGGCGTAAGTGCCGAGCATAGGCCTAAATTTGCAGCCCTTCACCGGCAATGGTGACGTCTCCATATCAGTGAAATATTCTGGAGAAGGACGTTAAACAGTAAACAATCAATCAAATAATCAATATGATGAACTTTTGCTTTCCCCGGGTTTCTGTGTTTCACAGGATGTGTCCGCATCTTAGCCTTGCACACGACTGCGAAATGGTTCTTCTGATTACACTTATTATTGTTTACAGTCGACTGTAAAGTTTCAAGTTACGTCACGATCTAGTTGACAGCTGCTCTCAAGGTAAATTGTACACACCTCCTAACCGCAAGTATTTCGACTGGAACTTTCTTCTTATCCCTGATTGGTTGCTCGAGCAACAAACTATTTCCGTGTCAATGTTGATAATTTGAGTCGACCAATCACGTGAATTGTTTACGCTGGATGCATCTGACGAAAAAGATCGTGAAGTAATGTGAAACTTTACAGTTAGCTGCAAACAATAGTATTACATGATTTTCCGTAAGCTGGACAATGATCTGGCCCCTTAGGATGATCTAATCCACAGTATTTACACTGACCTTTATGTTGGGGTTGCGCATCCTTCTGTTTGTATCTCTGTTTCTTGTCTCTGACTGCGTGAACGTTTTTCTCGTCTCCCATTTCTCGGAGCTGCGATTCTGACACTTCCGCTGCCCTACAAATGTCTATGGCACTCTGCAGTGTGAGTTCTCGTTCTCGTAATAATCTGGCTTCCACAGTATCACTTCGAATTCCACAAACGATTCGATCTCTTATTAAAGAATCTCTCAGTTCACCAAATTCACATACACTTGCCTTTTGTTTGAGTTCAGTCACAAATGCGTCAACCGGTTCTCCCTCCTTCTGATTTTGTGTACTGTAGATCACTAAATTTTCGCGACACCTTATTTTAGCGAGATTGTCATTGACTCTTTGTAAGCGAGACATAATTTTCACGAATAGTTGTTATTCCTTTATATAATCGTAAGGAATACTTTGATACGCGAGAAATAAATTTTCGCGAACGCATTGCCTCACATAATTACGCGAAAATAAAGTTCTCGCGAATAAAAAGTGATTTACAGTATTAAAACTGTGTCTCTCATAGGTTACATTTTTCCTAGAATTGCAGTATTCCTTAAATTTCTTTTTGATATCTGCTACCTTAGTCTTATCGTTCGTCTCCCGTCCACGTGAATGTGTTATAAACATCAATGGCGTCAGGTCCCAACACGTGGAGTAGGGTCACCCCCTGGACTTTGTCTCCTGTGCTTGCGACACCGCTTGCTACAGCGTAAACATCGTACTGCTGTTCGAATCTTCTCCAGTTCTCCGCTAAGTTTCCAGTAAGGTTAAGTCCGGGTGGCGGCGGTAACCGATCCATTTTCAAGATTTTTTTCTTCTGACACCATGTGGCACAAACAGACTCAAGATGGCGATGAGAACTAGTTTATTATATCACGTGCAGCATCATCATGAATAACAAGGAAAGATAACTCTATTTTGACATTTACAAATAACAGCAGTATAAGAGTTACTGTTCTTAGATACAGATAATGTCACAGGCATAACAAATTTTCTTCGCAGTTTTTGCAGCAACTCCTCATCACAGATGCTTGAAATTTTAGCACATACTTTGTTGAGGCATACAATGTGATGGAATTTATTTCTGAACAAATCGAATGTCAATTAACTTTCTATTAATCCGTGCATCTGCCTGTAACTGAACTTCAACATGATAGTGTAAATTCAAATCAGAACGGGGTATGATTGATTGAGTGTATGTTGTTTAACGTCCCTCTCTAACGTCGCCGCGGGGGTTTGACAAGCAAGCATTTGCTCACAGACTGCGACTGAACTTAGTCGTTAAAAAACCGAGACTCCGTGTCACGGCACGATAAAGATCCCCCACTGCTCAATGGCCCTGAGTGCCTAGAAAAGGTCAAAATTTGTAGCTCTTCACTGGCATATGGTGGAGTCTCTTCATGAGTAAAAAATTCTGAAATAGTGCGTTATATCTTATGATCAATCAATCTACACATGTTCCTTTTTTATTGTACAGTATTAATGTAACTTGTAAGTCCTTCCTTATTAGGTCACCTGAATAAACTCAGGTGAACCTATTGCTCTCTGTTTTCGTCCGTCGTCGTGTGTTAACATTTGAACATTTTCAGCTTCTTCTCTGCAACCGCTCGTCGTGTGTTAACATTTGAACATTTTCAGCTTCTTCTCTGCAACCGCTCAACCAAATTAAGTACAAAGCATCTATGGGTAAAGGGAAAAAAAATGTGAATTTCATGGTCCCTGCCCCTTGGGGCCTGAGGGGCGGGGCCAAAACCACTATAATTAATGCAATCTTTAATATAATTAATGCAATCTTTGAAAATCTTATTCTTTACTCTTGGACATCAAGCAGTAAAACTGTTGGCATGATAGTAATCAGCATTGGGTCCTCTACTAAAATTGTAAAATTCATGGCCCCAGAGTCAGGGGTTCTAGTGCTAGGGCGTTCTATAAAGATTATATTGTGAAAATGCATTATTTCTTTGAAAAATCTTCTCTGCTCCTAGGAATTAAATAAACTAACCAAATACATAGTTATGTTGATTATGACTGCCTCTTCCAAAATTTTGAATTTCATGGCCCCAGGGTCAGGGGTTCTTAGGTGCTAGAGAGGGGCTATATAGATTATATAGTGAAAATGCATGATTTCTTTGAAAATCTTTCTTTGCACCTGGGTGCTTAATAAACAAACCAAATGCAACATCATAGTTATGATTAGCAAGAATGGCTCTTCAAAATTGTGAATTTCATGGCCCCTGGGTTGGGGGTTCTGAGCTTAGGGTGAGGGCTATTGATTATATATATAGTGAAAATACATTAATTCTTTAAAAATCTTCTCTGCTCCTGGGTATGAAATAAACTGAGCAATTACATAGTTATGTTCAATAAAAGTGCATCTTTCAAAATTGTGAATTTCATGGCCCAACGGTCAGGGGTATAACTATTGGTGTTAGGATGGGGCTCTAATGATTATATAGTGAAAATACATCAATTCTTTAAAAAATCTTCTCCTCTGCTCCTGGGTATTAAACCAGTGAAGTATGTACATAATTATGATGAGGAAGGATGCCTCTTCCAGATTTGTAAATTTCAGGGCCCCGGGATCAGGAGTATTGGTACATGTATTAGGGTGGGGCTCTAATGATTACATAGTGAAAACGCATGAATTTTTTTGAAAATCTTTTCCTGTGCTCCTGGATATTATGCCAATACTCTAAGTACATATTGATGATGAAGAAAGGTGCCTCTTTCAAA